GGCCAAATGCAGCCGGTTGGACGCCCCTGAAGACAAAAGATACATGACAACTAAATGCAATACCCGAAAACTTAACTGGATCCTGCATCAGTAGAAGGAAAAAAGCTACAAAGTTCATTATTGTGTCAACAGGAGGAAATGTGAATAAGAATAATGGTAGTCTTAAATATGAAAGTCATGTTGTTAGTAGAAAGGGAAATGTTCTTGTTCTTAGGAGATGCATGTGAAATATTTAGGATGAAAGTGGCTCTTTGGCAAAAAAGTAGGTGTGTGAAAACAAGCGCATGAGTGTCTGGTTTCTCACTGCTGGAGAAAGAAGTTACAAGTATGGAAAGGTAGGAGAGGCTAGAATTAACCCAGTGTAGCTGGACTGGAAGTGGAGGTATTACTACCAACGCGTGGTTTTTAATACAGTTGACCCTTGAACAACTCGGGGTTAGGGGAACTGACACCTCCATGCAGTCAAAAATCTGTGTATGCCTGGCTGGTGTAGCTCAGTTAGTTGGAGTGTCATCCCATAAACTGAAGGGTTGTAGGTCCAACTCCTGGTCAGAGCACATGCCTAGGTTGTGGGTTTGATTCCTGGTCAAGAATCAACCAAAAGATTGCATAAATAAGTGGAATAACAAATCAATGTTTCTCCTTTTCTCTCCTTCCCTTTCTCTTTAAAAATCAATAAATAAAAAAAGAAAAGGATGGGTGTAGAAATACATATAGAAGTATGTGTGTGCATGTATATATTTACATATATTTCCGAGCTGTCTGCTGGAAGGCCCTAGAGCAATGACACCCCACTAACATGGTATATCCAATGCCCAGACATTAATTTCTAAGTATCATTTCCACTAAAAGCAACTGTGGCCCCTTAAAAAAACAGACCGACTCCAGAGCTAGTTAGCCAGGGAAAATACAAAAGGAGCCTGAAATGTCTTGCGATGCTGGAAGGTTGTTTTCTTTTTTTTTTTAAGTGCTCAAACAATGATAGTGTCATGTCTAAAAAACACAGAAGCCAGATTTGCCCCACCAGCCAAATCTGAGACAATCTAACCATCAAAATAAATGACAAAGCTGAGAAGGAAAAGATCCATCTTCTGGGAGAATGCCAATAAATAAATATGAGAGGTGACTGTACAACTATATGAACGTAGTTAACGCCACTGAATTATACACTTAAAAATGGTTAAAAGGTGGTGATGGAAAAAGACCTGACGTGGGTGAACACACAGCACAATGCATAGTTCATGTGTTATAGAACGGTACACCTGAAACCTATGTGATTGTATTAACCAGTGTCACCCCAATGAATGCAATAAAAATATTAAAATGATAAATATTATGTATATTTTACCACAAAAAAGTTTAAACATAAGTCATCAATACTGAAAGAATGACAGAATTAGAAAGCCACTGTGATAACCAACATAGTAATAATTAATTTTGAAAAGATCTCAAAAGGATGTTAAAACTAATATGTCAAAATTTGATGAGGATGTCAAATTACAGGCCATAGTAATAGGCCATATTACAGTATAAGCCATACTACAAGGCCATAGTAATCAAAACAGGATGGTACTGGCAAAAACAGACACACAGATCAGTGGAACAGAATAGAGAGCCGAGAAATAAACTCACATCTTTACAGTCAATTAATATTCAACAGAGTAAGCAAGCATATACAGTGGACTACAGATGATAGTCTAGTCAATAAATGGTGTTGGGAAAATTGGACAGATACATGCAGAAAAATGAAACTAGACCATCTTCTTACCCCACACAACAAGAATAAATTAAAAATGGATTAAAGAGTTAAATATTAGAACTAAAGCCATAAAAACCCTAGAAGAAAACATAGGAGTAAAATCTTAGCCATTGCTTGTCGCAATATTTCATCTGATACATTTCCCCAGGCAAGGGAAACAAAAGAAAAAATAAACATATGAGGATTACATCAAACTAAAAGTTTTTGCACAGCAAAGGAGATTATCAACAGAATAAAAAGATAACCCATGGAATGGGAGAAAACATTTGCCAACACATCTGATAAGGGGTTAATACCCAAAATGTATAAAGTACTTACAAAACTCAATGCCAAAACCCCCCAAACAATCCAATTAAAAAATGGGCAGCCCTAGCTGGTGTGGCTCAATGGATTGAGCACTGGTCTATGAACCAAAGGGTTGCCAGTTTGATTCCCAGTCAGGGGACATGCCAGGGTTGTGGGCCAGGCCCTCAGTTTGGGGGCACATGAGAGGCAACCAATTGATGTTTCTCTCTCTTTCTCCCTCCTTTCCCTTCCTGCTAAAAAAAAAAAAAATGAATAAAATCTTTTTTAAAAATCGGGCAAAGGACCTGAATAGACACCTCTGCAAAGAGGATATACACATGGCCAATAGACATATGAAAAGATGCTCAAGGTCACTAACCATCAGAGAAATGCAAAATAAAACCACAACGAGCTATCACTTCACACCTGTGAGAATGGCTCTCATCAATATATCAACAAACAAGTGCTGGCGAGGATGTGGAGAAAAGAGAACCCTTGTGCACTGTTGGTGGGAACGCAGACTGGTGCAGCCACTGTGGAAAGTAGTATGGAGATGCCTCAAAAAATTAAAAATGGACCTGCCTTTTGACCCAGATATCGCACTTCTAGAAATATATCTAAGAAGCCCAAAATACTAATTCTGAAGAACATAAGCACCCCTATGTTCATTGCAGCGTTATTTATCATCACCCAGATATGGAAGCAGCTCAAGTGTCCATCAATAAATAAGTGGATAAAACTACAGGATGTTTACACAATGGAATACTACTTGCCTGTAAAAAAGGAAAATTTTACCCTTTGTGACAGCATGGATGGACCTGGAGAACATTATGCTAAGTGAAATAAGCCAGTCAGAGAAAGACAAATATCATGTAATTTCACTCACGTGGAACCTAATGAACAAACTTAACAAGCAAAATAGAGACAGAAGCATAGAGGGCAGGATGACAGCTAGTGGGGAGGGAGGTTAGGGTGGAGCGATCAAGCAAAAAGGAAAAAGGATGCATTGCAGACCATGGACAACAGTGTGGTGACTGCAAGGTGGGGTGTTAAAAGGTAATGAAAAAATATAGTAAATTTTTTTTTAAATTTGATGATGAAGATACATGTGTAGTCTCAAAGTAAGCTCCCCCAAATACTTATTACTTACAAATTAATTTGTACGAAATTCTTACTTAACTAAAACCTATGGGCACAGAAGGGTTATAAGTATGGCGATAAACATAGAGGTACTCGGCAAATGCTAACCAAATGGAAATAGTGCAGATGTGTTCACGTCAGACAACATGCTCCTGAAGGCAGAAACAAGAATAATGACTAACCAGAGTATTAACAATTTTGAATTTACATGTATTTAACATAATCTCATAGATATTTAGCAAATTTGACAGAATTATGAAGAGACATTTAATGGAAGACGATCAGAGGGCGTTTTTTTTTAAAACATATTTCCTTAGTAACAAATAGGTCAAGCAGACAAAAACAAAGAAGATAAAGAATTTAAGAACACCATCAAAAAGCTTACTAAATGAACAAATATAGAGTCCTATATTTGAGACTATGCATTCTTTTTTTAAAGATTTTTATTTATTTATTTTTAGAGAGAGGGGAAGGGAGGGAGAAAGAGAGGGAGAGAAACATCACTGTGTGGTTGCCTCTTGTGTGCCTCCTACTGGGGACCTGGCCCGCAACCCAGGCATGTACCCTGACTGGGAATCACACCAGCAACACTTCGGTTTGCAGGCCTGTGCTCAATCCACTGAGCTATACCAGCCAGGGTGAGACTATGCATTCTTTTCAATACAGCAAGAACTGTTCATAAAAAGTAATCACACAGCAAGCCAAAATGCAAGTCTGAAAAAACAATACCAAAAAATCAATAGAGTACAGATCAGAATCTGTAGCCACAGTACAATCAGCTTAGAGAATAGAAAAAAGATAATCAAGCCTTTCATTCTACCTGTTTGCAAATTAAAAGCAGCACTAATCAATAATAATGACATTTCCAAAAAAGTCTTATATGTCAAAGAAACAAAAATGGAAGTCAGAAAAATTCTGGCTATGACAAATATATGCAGAGGGCTAATAGGTTGTTCTTTGTATTATACCCTACAATTTTCAGTATACTTGAAATACTTTGAGATTTAAAAAAGAAAAAGCATGTATTGACAAATAACAAGATAATATGATTTGTTTCTTTGACATTTGTGGTACTTCTAGGCAAAATCCTATTAAAAATCAACGGAGAGATTTAAAGTGACATGAAGAGCCATGGCCCAATAACCGGCTTCCTCGTGGCGGCCATGCTTTCGCACCTAATGTGCTTTCTGGGAAAGTTCCTGAGGGCAGAAAACCATTACTCTGCTCAATAACCTAATTTGCTTTCAAATAATTGATTTTGTAATAATCAAATCCACCCCAAATACATTTAAGATTTTCTAACACTGTTTTCCAAGGAAAACAAAAGATAAGTTTAAATGTTGTGAGAAACGGTAGCATTTCTGGCATAAATCCACGCTCTGTCCTTCCCCCTTCCTGGCCACACCAACCTTCCCAAGGACGCCTGGAAAGGAGACAACCATCGCTTCAATGAGCTTTGCTATGCACTGCTTCGAAAACATTTGATAGCCTTAAGTTTTAAATGGAAATGGTCATTTATTGTACAGTGTGTGAAAAGGTTTTCGATCTTAATGTAGATGAAAGGTTTAAGATTTCTCATTTAGTTCAGCTTTATTTTACTTCTTAAATTTGGTGAACTTAACTGTATAAAATATAAAACCAAAATGTATTTCTCTCTTAAGTTACATATGGTATATTAGTAAAAGAGACTTAAACATTTAAGTATGGGTAATCAAAGTAATGAAAATAATAGGTTAAAGATAATGTAAAGTGACACCAAACACACACACACACACACACACACACACAAGATCTAAAAAAAAAATCAGGTACACACCCAGCTTTACTCTATGCTGTTTCTCTTCCTCACTTCTGAGAAAAGTATCCAAAGTGCGCAGGTCTGTCATGTAGTCTTCTTTGTCCGTAGGCGAGTTGTAGACAGTGGGCGAAGAGCGGTAGCGAGATCTCAATCCACTGCTCTCCACTGGTCCCACCGTGGTAGGGTATGGAGAAGAAGGCGACGAACTATAGCTTGCCAACTACACACAAAAAAAATCTTTATTTAATTGAAACTTATTTTTGTCTTGGTGTTTGACTTTCAAAAAGCAATATACCAAAAATAAAATCCAGAACACTGACAATGCCAAATGCTGACGAAGATGTGAGGACAACAGAAACTCTCATTCACTGATGGTGGGCAGACTGGTACAGCCACTTTGGAAGACAGTTTGATGGTTTCTTACAAAACTAAGCATACTCTTATCACCTAGCAATTGTGCCCTTAGTATTTACCCACAGAGGTTGAAAACTTATGTCCACACTGCAACCTGCACACAGATGTTTATAACAGCTTTACTCATAGTTGCCAAAATATGGAAGCAACCTACCATCCTTCAGTAGGTGGATGGACAAACTGGTATGTCTGGACAATGGGACATTATTCAGCACTAAAAAAAAGAGCTAGAAGGCCATGAAAAAACATAAAGGAAACTTAAATGAACATTACTAAGTGAAAAAAAAAAACCCAATTTGAAATGGCTACATACACTACATCTGCAACTATATGATATTCTGGAAAAGGCAGAACTATGGAGACAATAAAAAGATCAGTTGTCAGGGACTGGGGTGGGGGCGAGGATGACTATGTGGAGCACGAGGCTTTACAGGGCAGTGAAAATACTCTGTACACCATAATGGTGCACACATCACACATTTACCCAGACCCAGGTTCGTCAATTGTAGCAGAAGGACCGCGCTGGTGCCTGATGTTCACAGTCAGGAAGGCTGAGCCTGTGTGGGGGCCGGGGGGTAGATGGGAAATCACGGTACCTTCCTCTCAATTTTGCTGGGAACCCAAAATTGTTCTAAATATAATCCTATTTTTAAAAGAAGTAACATATGCACCCAGGCCAGGTGGTTCAGTGGACTGGGGCATCACGCCGCATACCAAAAGGTTGTGGGTCCGATGGTCAGGGCAACGTATGAGAGGCAACTGATCGATGTTTCTCCCTCACATCAATGTTCCTTTCTCTCTCTCTCTCCCCTCCTCTCTCTAAAATCAACACAGATCCTTGGGTGAGGATAAAAAAAGGGAATATATGCATTTTTTAAAACACTGAAAAGTATAAAAAAAATAAGTCACACTTAGAACTCTATTACCCAGAGCTAATATAATCTTTTCACAGTTTATGTATTTTCAAATCTTTACATGTACATGGCTATGTCTATATTTTTTCATGTAATTGCAACAATACTGTTTTTTAATTTTATACCCCCATTTTACTTAAAGTTAACCAAGTATTTTCCTATAAAATTCTTTATGAATATTCTTACTAACTACATGATATATCATTGTATATACATACATATTACATATATCATCATTTCCTTTTACCTTCTCTTAATTTAGACATTTGGATTGTCAACAATTTTTGGCTACTGTAAGTGTTATGATTAACTTCTTTGTACATAAATCTTTGCTTAATTTAGTGACTTCCTTTAGAAGATTCCTAGAACTGAAATGATTTGATAAAATCATACAAACATTTTTATACATATTTTTCTCAACAAAAGGGTTTCACTTCCGATCAAGATGGCGGCATAGGTAAACATACCTTGCCTCCTCCCACAACCCATCAAAATTACAACTAAAATATAGAACCACCATCACTCAGAACCATCAGAAATCAAGTTGAATGGAAATCTGACAACTATGGAATTAAAGAAACCACATCCATCCAGACTGGTGGGAGACGCAGAATGGGCTGGCCCCACATCCACACGTGGCAGATAAAAATTCAGGAGGAATATCTCAGGAATGAAGAGTCCCAGCTGCATACCAGGCCCCCAGCCCAAGATTCTAGTTCCAGGAAGATAAGTCCCCATGACTTCTGGCTGCAAAAACCACAGGGGATTGAGTTGGTGGAAGAAACCACTGGAGTTCCAAGCAATTCCTCTTAAAGAACCCACACACAGACTTATTCACTCTCATTCCCTCTGAGCTCCAGCACTGGGGTAGCAGCTTGAAAGGTACCAGTGGCATACAGGAAGAAACTGAAGTGTCTGGCATCCAGGCAGAAGCTGGGGAACAGCTTTCTTACAGACAGAAAGGCAGGCAGAGGCCACTGTCTCTTTTCTTAACCCTCCCTGCACAGAGCCACAGAGCCAGCAGGCTGGTACCATATCTGAGACTCCATCAACCTGGCTAACACTGTTTTCCCCACCCTGGAGATCACCAAAGACTCTATCCCACCCAACTTACGGGCCTATCCAAGTTGCTTTTCTATAAGAATGGCTGGTCTTGGCTCAAGCTTCACAACTTCCTAAATCCTCTCAAATAAGCAAAAGCCAGTCTCAGTGAGCCCCCAGCACTCTTACATCTTGCTAAGTAGCACCAGGCCCAGCACTAGCAGCAGCCAGCTTAGATTCACAGGTTGGCTTCACCCGAGAATTTCCAAGCCCAGCACAAGGAGAAACCATCTGAGGGAGTTCCGATAAGGCTGTCAGCTGATTTCTCTAAAGAAACTTTGCAGGATAGAAGGGGTTGGCAAGAAATATTCAAAGTCACAAAAAGTAGGGTCCTGCAGCCAAGACTGCTCTACCCAGCAAGGCTATCATTGAGAATAGAAGGGCAGATAAAGATCTTCCCAAACAAGAAAAAAACTAAAGGAGCTCATTATCATCAAACCATTATTATATGAAATGTCAAAGGGACTTATTTAAGAAAAAGAAGATCCAAACTATGAACAATAAAATAGCAATAAATACATATCTATCAACAATTGAATCTAAAAAACAAACTAAGCAAACAAGAACAGCAACAGAATCATGGATATGGAGAGCGTTTGATGGTTGTCAGATGGGAGGGGGTGTGGGGGAATGAGAGAAGAGGCGAGGGGATTAAGAAGTACAGATAGGTAGTTACAGAATAGCCATTGGGATGTATAAAGTCCAGTGTAGGAAAGGGAGCAGCCAAAGAACCTACACGCATGACCCACAGACATGAACAATGGTGTGGGGATTGCCTGAGGGAGTATGGGTGCTGGGTGGAGGGGGTAAAGGGAGAAAATTTGGAACTGTAATAGCATAATCAATAAAATATAATTTTAAAAATGTTGCACTGAGTTACACCATCAGAAGAGAACATACAGGAGTACCTATTTTGGTATATGTTCATCAGCATTACTCTTTTAAAATGTTTCATTTCCAGAAAAATTTTAAAGCGTACTTTTAATTTGCATTTTTATAGTTGCGGAGTAAACTTTAAAAATACAATTACTGGTTACTAGTATTACCCACATTTTTAACTGTTTAGTCCAGTATACTGAAAATTTTTTTCTACCAGGGTTTCACAATCAACTTATATTCAGTTGTAATAAATGAAAGATGAACAAATCTTATAATTGTTTAATGCTGTCTGAAAATAAAAAATGTTAATCCTCTTCTACATTGATTTCTCTTTTATTGTAATGAACATATTAAATCCTTATACACTACTACTCTATTTGAGCTATTGTTTTATTAAGTGGTTTATCCTTGCTGAAGGGGCATAATGTTTTATGCTTAAAATACATGATCTTATTTCATCCACTTCATAAGAGGCAAATAGCATTACTGTACTAATTTTAGACATGAGTGCTTCAGTAACTTGCTCAAGATCATACCAGGATTTCAATCCAGTTTTCTAAGTCTAGAATTTACACTTCTAATATGTTTTCAGGATTGGAATGATCTGTTCACATAGTAACAAAATATTGGCAACTGTTGAAAATGAGAGGTACACAGGAGTTCAAAGTGCTGGTCCCTACATTCCCACATGAAAATTTTAATAATCAAATGTTTAAAAAGTAACTTTTTTTGAAAATCTAAAGGAACTCAATGATAAAAACTCCAGTGGCCTAATGTATTCTGAGGATGTATTTGACTAAGTTTTTAAATTTTCTTCTTTGATTTATTCAGTTTTCCTACTTTGTAGTTAATTTTGGCATTTTTTCCCCTGAAAAATAATTATTTCATGAACTTTTCCAAGGTCTTAGTTCACTTCAACACTTACACTGCCTCTATAACCCATATACTATGTTAAGATGGGTTATCTTAAGATGAAAAAAAAAAACACATAATCATGTGCTCAAGGAGGTTATAATCTAGTCAAAAGAGATAGTTAAGCAATGTTATGAACTTTATGGACAGACATATTTTGTACAGATTAATAAGTTTTTAATAAATGAAAATAAATATTTAAGAGTAAACTATAGTATACCTATTGGATGAGTATTAAATAGCCACTGAACAGATGTTTCAGTGATAAGACTTGAGTAATATTTCTTCTATATTCTAACTTTTTAATAATGATCGTATAGTATTTTTCTCATAAAAACAAATTTTAAAAGTCATGTTTACCTATGGGTTATGAATTATCCCTGTATGTGTATTCCCTCATATTTAATTTATACAAAATTTTGTCAGTTCTATCACTTGCCCAATTATTGGGCACCAGTAATACAGAATTTCATTACAAAGAAATGTTATGTAAAAGGGTAAAGGAAGACTGGATTTTATTTCCAGACATTCCTCATTTCACTAGTAGCTATAATGATGATGTTAGTCTAACTGGTGAGTGCATCAGACGATGTGACCACTCCCCTTTAAATGCCCCTCTTATGTTCTTATGCTTCAGGCAGAAGTGACAATTTTGAATGTCAATTTTGCTTCTATCAAGCCTACAATTAAAACACATACCCACTGTGCAGTGGGAGTTGGAGTAAAGATTTCCAATCATCCAGTGGAGTGTGTCTATACTCTAGAGTGAAACTACATGGCAATCCCAGTTTTTAACTTAAAAGACGCTCTAACATGATGGAAAGCATTAAAATTCTGTAAGAATATACAGAAGTTTCACATAAAGAATCAAGGAGCGAAACATGAGCATAGGAAACTAAAATAAAAAGTCATCATAGTTTCAACTTGTTTCAAAACCTCTGCGGAAAGATCCTAGAGGGTGAACCTGAGTTCATTACCTTTGCAAAAGCTATCCTTCTTTCATTTTAAGACGTGGTATAAAGAACTTCTAATGGGTGTAAAGAAATCTGGGTTTATTATTGGCTCTTAAATGGGCAATTCGGGGAGTCCATGATCCACTGTTCCTCTGTTTGCTCATCAATAAAATTAGGAGTTTCGACTCATTAGACAGTCAAGGTACCTCTGAATTCTAAAATAATGTGACTGGCCAAAAGGAAAGAGTCGTTACCTTATTATAACCACTGATGGGTGAGTAGGTCACTCCTGGGCTGTAAGAACCACTGCCACCTGATGACAGACCTTGCAGCGGAGGGCTGTACCCAGTTATACAGCTGGTGGTGAACTTGGGACTGGCACTGGGTGAACGAGATGGGCTGTAACTTAACACACTCTGACCCTGAATTGAAGAAGGTGGAGAGGGAGGGATCTGGGTGGCTGCCAGGTCATGTGGAGGAGTCGTCTGTACAACTGGAAGAAGTAAATACATGGCAAATAAATCAAATGTCAGTGTATAGATAAGTAAAATTTCTATCAAAACAGATTTAATGAATGGAATCTTTTTCTTCAGAAACAGGGAAAGTAATAGAGAACCTGATCGTTAAATTACATAAAGTATTATTACCAAAAGGCACAAATTAGTTTTTTACCATTTCCAGAGTTCAAGATAAGAAATTAGCTTCACTGCAGCAAGCATTAGTAATTTAATTTTAATTTTAATTTTAATTAAACAAGGGAACAAACTTTCATGAGGCTATTTATTGCTAGTTCCATTTAATTTATAGAAATAGGAATAATGGTCATTGGTCTTAACACAATTTATTGTAGACGTGCTTAATATAGCTGAACCAGATGGCCTAAGTCCCTTCTAGCCGAGTCTAGGAAAAGGGAAAATTAAATTGAGAAAGAGTTATGGCCAACCTTTCCCCCATCTTTGTAAAAGATGTAAAACACTTACCAGCTGTTTTCAGCCCTAAAAGTGTTTGCTGTCCAGGGCTAACAACCAGACTTGTTGGTGCCACAGTATATTTGAAATACCTCCAAAAATCAAATAAGGCGTTTAGGCTGAAGAGAGATGCAAGGGCAAGCTCTATAAGAGAATAACAATTTTTTTTTAAATAGAGGGGGTGGAACATTTAAAGGGAGAAACAAAACTCTATGTTAGCAAATTAACAACAAAATTGAGAACATATTCTTTGTAACAGTTAGCACTTAATGAATGTCTATTATGTGTAGGGTACTTACTAGTGAGTTTCAAAATATTATTAATCCTTAAAACTTGTACAATAAACATTTCACCTCCATTTTAAAGATCAACCAACAGCTGTAGAGAAGAAGTCAAGTGACTTTTGCAAGGGCACACGGCTAGTTATTGAAGCCATGACACTAGCTTAGGAGTGCAGATTCCCAAACTTTTGCTCTTCCATTCCCACACCACCTCTACAACAGACTTCAGATGAAGGTGGGTATGAGACAATGGAATTTCCTTTACCAGTCATAAGGATTTATCCCCAAGGACTACTGAAGAGCAGAGAGAAGCAGGAACACATCAATACGGTAGAAATCTGGTTGTTCTCGAAGGGTAAAAAATTAGAGAAGTAGGGAAGGCATTTCAGGGAGCATAACAAATACAAACCTCTCTTCCCCCAAACTTTTCCTTCAAAGCACTCATTATTACCGAGATTTGTTTAATGTGATTGTCTCCCCTACTGGAATGTTCCACCCACGAGGACGGGGCCTTTGTTCCCTTCCTGGTACAGTCCCAGTTTGGGGAAGGCACTCAAATACTTGTTGAATGAAGGCGTGGGTACTAAGTTGAATTAAACTTGAATGCAGTTTTTCATCCACAGTAACTCTAAATCACAGTGAAAATTAATTACTTACCAATATACCAGAGGGGCCAGTATGTCACATTATAATATGAACTAATCAATTTTCCAGTCCTGAAAAAATTAGAAAGGCCTTTCAATCTCTTTAAAACACACACACACGCACACACCAAAAATCAACCAACACAAAAACCTATGGAACCAACACGGGCCTTTTTTTTTGGGGGGGGGGGTGTAGTAATTAACTTACATCTCAGTATATATCATCCCAGCCATAGATACATTTAGGAGTCCCCAGGCTAAAACCACTTTCCTAGCTTCTGTTTCTTTCCTCATCTTGATGGTTCTGTCAATAAGGGAAGCACTAGGGCTTGGCTCCCCTTGCATCTATTCAAAAACAAAAAGCACAAGAATTAATCAAAAGAAACTACTCCATTTAAGAAATCACACTTGTATCCTTTTATAACAGTTAACTAAAAAATACACCCACTTTTCCTCATTTTTAAAATGTTTTTTCCAAAACTTTACATTGTCATGTTAGTTATGAAAAGGGAACCCTAAATTATAACTTCATTGGCACCATATTATAATCAACAAAAGAAGTGGCTGGTCACTTCCAAAAATGTAATACTTCCAATAAATAAAAATGTCTTATTTTGTTTTTTGTTATTTTGATCTTAAGTATTGATAGTTATGTACGTCTGCAATTTCCCTGTATTGTGTTTTTGGAATATGTCACAAGGGCTAGCCAAAGGGCTGATTTAAGACACTCGAAATACCAAGCTTTGGGAGAAACTATTCCATTTAAGCCATAAGCCACCAGTGCCTCTCCCACAGCCTTATGCACAAACCATGAACCGCCTATGATCTTAAACAACTCTGCACTCAAGCTGACACACGACAGGGATCTCCGTTTTAAGTTTTAGACGGGTGAGTACTCCTGATGTGACAGGGATGAGGGTGAACCGGGAGAAGTGTGCATTCAGTTTTGGTCTACACTGGGATTTATATTTCCTTTGTCTTGCTAGGCCTCATCTCCTGCAGACATGTGTGAGATGTGTTTCAGTTATATGGACTCGTATCCCCCGGAGTACACAGCAATACCCTTCCAGCCACGCAGCCGGAGTCAAAACTCTGCAGTCCAAGTTTCCCTCCCTGGCTCTCCCAATACAAACTTCTGCAACCCCTACTGCTTCTTTCCTCCGTTCCTTTACGGGTGGCGGGACACCTGGCCACACCCCCCTGCGGCTGAGCCCTCGGCAGATCCGCAGGCGCGGAATTCCCAAGGCCCCCGTGGATTCCACATGCAGGAAGCACAAAAATGACCCCGAAAACGCACCGTGATCTTCGGACGGAAACCGCTGGCTCGCGCCACTCAGTACTGCACATGCGCGAAGCAAAGCGCCAAGGCTGAGTCCAGCTTGCTCGGCTACAATACCGGAAGAAAGGGCCTGGCTACCTCTTCTCGCGAGAAGAGGAGGGTGTGGTGGTGGGGGGGGTGTGGAGGATGGAGACTGGAGCGTTACCAGGGAAACATCCGCGGATTTGTGGCTTGCACTCAGGTGCTGGGAGAAAATTGAGCGGTAAAGATTCAGGCCCGGTTCTGAACCCTCAGAATAAAGTAATAATTGTAACAAGCTAAATTAAATTTTTATGTATTAACTTAACTTTAGCTTTTTTAGGGCGTTTATGGGCTTACGTGTTAAAACATTGTATTAAGCAGAATGGCTAATACGTAGGCTAGAGTACATGATAATGTGTTCAAACCCCATCAGCAATGACAAAGCATTTCTCACACCTCTGTGTTAAAAAAAATCGTGTTCTGACTCCATGTTAATTCTTAAAATTCTGTTTAACGAGGGTGCAGCAGTAACAAGAAAAAAAACAAAACGCGTTTTGTTCAAGTTGCTAATGGTTTTGAGGTTAAAACAAATTTTTTTTAATTGCCTGCATTTTCCTTGAAAGAACTTCTAATCCCGAGGAAAGGTTCGTCATAGAGTTCAGATGGTTTTTATTTAACAGATACAAATGCCTACTGTGTGCCACTGAACCACATGGAGATGTAAAAGTTAAAGATCGGGTTTCTGCCTGGAGGAGCTCGGTGGAGAAGGGCAGCAGGTGCATTAGGGGGCTGGCAGGTGAGGTGCGATGAGCTCCAGGAGGCACCGCGGGCCCAGCTCGGACTTCCTGGGAGCTTCCTGGAGGAGGCGAAGCAGGTCTCAGGCAGATAAGGAGCAGAATGGACGGGGTTTGGGGACTTGCCCTTGAGGAGGCAGGGAGGCGTGACCCTATTGACATTATGGTGTGTCACAATAAGCTAGTGGATTGTTACATGGTGTAACAATCCAACAACCAAAATTTTTCCTGAAATGCTCCTGAAATCAAGTAGAAGAAAATGAAGCTTGCTTGTGGTATTTCATATTAATGAAAAAAAATGAAGGTATGCTATGTTCTTAAAGCTCTAACAGATTTTTTTTTAAGTGGGATTTTTATAATTTTTAGATTGCCTTAGCAGCAATGGTGTTTTGCTCTAGTTTTAGATTGCAAGATGAACTAACTTGAAAATTGTTCAAAGTGAAAGGGTTCTGTGTACAATCAAATTGGTAATACCAGGTTCTCCCTACCCCATGAATGCACAAATGTGCATTCTTCTTAAGAGAAGAAATTTCCTAAGAAGACATTGTGTACATTTGATGTAACTCACAAAAGATAGATGGATAATTTCCCTCTTAATGTAATCTATAAATGACTGTGAATTTATTCAAGGCTTAAAAAGGAACACTACTACTACTCCAATTAGATTTATGTATGAGTTTGCTAGGCTTGCCTTAACAAAATGCTACAGACTAGGTGGCTTAAACAACAGAATTTTTTTTCAGTTTGGAGGTTGAGTCTATTCTGAGATCAAGATTCCAGCAGAACTGGTTTCTCCTAAGACTTGTCTCCTTTGTCGTGTGCGATGGATGCCCTTTCTTTTAGTGTCTCTAACTGGCCTTTTTTTTTAAATGTGTTTACACATCCTCTTCTTACAAGGTTACCAGTCATATTGGATGAGGACCCCATCCTGATGACCTCATTTAACCTTAATTACCTTTTTAAAGGCCCTACCTCTAATTATAGTCAAACTGAAGGTTAGGACTTCAACATATGAATTTTGGGAAACACAGTTCAGTCTGTAACACGTTAGAACTGTATATGTTAATTTACAACAATACAAGATGGGAGAAAATGGGTACTGCATAGACTTAGATTTTAAAATATTGACTCCCCAAAACCTAACTATCCTTGGTATTCTTGGGGGTTTGGTTCCAGAATTCCCACAGATTCCAAAATCCGAGGGTGCTCAAATCCCCTGTATAAAATGGCCTAGATCCATGAATACAGTCTGCTTTCCGCATCCTTGGACTCTCGAATGCAGATCAACAACACTACAGGTATTTACTGAAAAAAAAAAAAAAACAAAAAAAACAAACAAACCAAAAAACCTAATATGTGGACCTGCGCAGTTCAAAGCAATGTTGTTTAAGGGTGTACTACAATACATACAAATTTCAGGGGAAGAAAAGATTGAGGCAGAACACACTATATTAAGCTCTGGGACAATGGCTATCAACTTTCATAAAAGTAGCTTAGATAAATTTTCTAAAACTTTAGAAATCCAAGAAGTGTTTGTCAGTTCCTGTCACAGTTGCTGAAGTGTATGTCATAATAGGTTGCTAAGGAAGCTGTCATATACCCAGAGAGAAGTACCTCCCAGTCGCCGCCATCCCTGTGAGCATGTTTTCTTCTTAAGCAAGAAGCCACTATGGGAAAGCTTCTTTCCTTGTTTTGGGAGGTGGAGCCGCCCCCCATGCCATTAAGTTTTGCCATTCCGAACCAGGACTACGAGTGCCAGCAGGATGACTCTTGTGGAGCAATAGGGATCTTCCTTGTTTGGTATTTTGTCATTATATTGATCTTGATGTTCTTCTCTCGGGCTTCTGTCTGGGTAGGATATCCTTTTTCATTTTAAATAATATGTTTACTGTATACTAGGGGATATTTCATAAAATTCACTTTGATGAAACTACTTTTTAAAAGTTTGTTTTCTAGTTTTAAAAATATTGCAATCTTATTTTAGAGAATCCAAGAAAAGGATGAAAATTTAAACTACAATAATCCTGTTTCTTAGATAATCACTGTTAGCATTTTGGAGTGTGTTTTTCTAGTGTTTTTCTTTTTCTCTATTCCAATATTTATCTTTCCACCTCTCTTATCTTTGACCTTCGTGATTGGCATTATGTTATAGTATGCACTTTCATATCTTGCTTTTTAAAACATTAATGCTATATTTTAACAGTTCTCCAAATTACATTCACACAGCTGCACCCTTCATGACTGCATCGTTTCGTGTGTGATTGTACCGTAACAAATCTGCAATTTTGAGATATTGAGGTTGTTTGCACTTTGTCCATATGCTGTGTGATGCTGAGATAAACTTCTCTCCTGCTTAATGACCTCGAAATTCCTTTTGCAGCCACATAATTCTAATCACAGATTTTTTTTTAAGTTGTTGTATTTAAGGATATATGTTGTAGCACTTTGGGGATTTTAGAATGGGGCAATACATTCTCTGAATAGAATAAACTGCAGAACTAAACTAAACTAAACAGAACTGAAGTTACCACTCTAGACCACCTACTAGCAGAAGAAAATACCATCCTCTTAGGAAGGAGAAAGCCCACTTTATCAGGACTGTAATGCTTCAGCATATAACGAGTAACTAAGCTCTTGTTAAGTTGCTGACATAGACTCATTGCTGGCCATTAATACCAGGTTGATGATTAATCAAGCCACCATCATTCAGCATTACTGCCAGATCGCTGGGCAGGCCGTGGTTAGCTAGAGTGAGTGCTGTGTCAGCTCTGGATGGAGAGGAGGAGGGTGTTATGTCTATGCCAGCTGTAATCCATTAAAATAATCAAAGACTCTTCCCCTCACCACCTCTTCCCCCTGAGAAGTTTCATCAAAGGTCTCTAAATGCTTCATATGGTAGATACTTTGCCAAAAGAAGATTTAGAAGCAATAGCTTATATGTATCTTAGACTCCCTAGCTAAGTATATGGAATTTGCCTGGTTTGGCAAGAAAAGCTACTTTAGAAATTTAACAAAAAACTGCAGTTGATTCCTGGCAATTTCATCATGAAGACCACTTACGAGGCCTAAGCTCTTCTGCTCCTTGCTTGCATCAGCTCCTTGGAGTCATAGAGACCCAAGCTCCAAGGACCTCAAGATTCCATGTGGTCCGGTCTCCTGTTTGTAAGCAAGTAAGATATCAGTATCTTTCCTTTTTAAAATTGACGAGGCCCAAAGATATTAAGTGCCTTGTCCAGTCTCACACACGTGGTTAGTGACGGAGGGGACAATAGACCCAAATTTCCTGCCACATCATTTGTTTGCTTCAGAGCATAGTTGAAATGTTGAATTAAATCTATTTAGTGCTGATTAAATCCTTAATTATCTTAGAGGTTTCATCTTTCACTTTGTTCCCTTGTGGCAGCTGAAATCTGCTGCATGGCTTCTTCTGAAGTGTCCCAGGTTTGAAATCTGAGAACCAGATGAGGACCAGCGAAGGAGGGTGGAATTTTCCCTTCACTTAGAACTTCATTTTTTTTCTGCTAAGCTACGATCCTTTATTTACAAACCTTGAAGTAACGGTGAAAGCGTGATGGAAGTGTAGTGGTAATTATCCTCAAACATGAAGCACGCTGATTTCCTCGGGATTTGCCACTTTTTAAGATGCATGTACCTTTTGCTTTCAGAGACCACATGTACTATCTTTAGTTTATATTTTTGATTTGTGTTTGTTCAGACTGCCAGTGCTGGAATTTTCCCCAATACCAGTCCATGCTCCTCACTTTGCGTATGTGGAAACTGAGCTTACGAGGTGTTTAAGCGGCGGAGTTGCTTTCTGGTGGCAGAAAGGCAGAGCAAAGCCTGGATCTCTCCATTGTTTGCTCCACTCTCAGGGCAGGCCCTGTTCTTTTCCCTCACTGAGTCTCAGGGGTAGTCAACAAAATGCTTTTGGTGACTACAGTTTGTACATTCCTCTTAACTTGATGTAAAAATTTTTCTTTTATGTTAAAGATTTTATTGATTTATTTTTAGAGAGAGGGAAAGAGAGGGAGAAAGGGAGAGAGAGAAACATCAATGTGCAAGAGAAAGATTAATCAGTTGCCTCTTGCAAGCCCCCAGCCAGGGACCTGGCCTGCAACCCAGGCATGTGCCCTGACCAGGAATTGAACCGGGGACCTTTAGGTTTGTTGGATGATACCCAACCCACTAAGCCACACCAGTCATGCAAAAATCTTTCTTTTGATTTTTTTTATTATATTTTGATTTGGCCATCAAGTCAAAAATGGATGCTTTCTATGAAAATGATATAAACCAAATAAGTGTTTTTAAAACTTTTGCCCCTCCATTACAAATGTACGCACAAACTGTGGAGCGCGGGTGGTGTGCTCAGTTTGCTGGGTGTCCTCCCGCAAACCGGAAGGCACAGGGTTGATTTCCGGTCAGGGAACACGCTTGGGCAACCCGCCAATGTTTCCCTCTTGCATAGATGTTTCTCTCCCTTTCTTTTTACCTCCCCTCCCTTCTCTAAAGTCAAAAATAAAAATTTTAAAAAGCCCTCCAAAATATATTTAAAAAAGAAAATGTGGAATTTATATGAAAGTAGAAAAAAATGAAAAAACCCACTCCAGATTACACAGAAATAATCAACTATTATTAACTTTTAGGTTTATAAATGTCTAATCTTTTCATAATCATCTCTATACATATTAAACTTAAAATAAGGTCCCCAAACCATTTGTATAAAGAGTTATCTTAAAAGAGGGTTCCTCCCTCAGGCTTCCAGAGATGGCTGCAATTGTGCAAAAAGCAAAGAGCTGTCTCACTGGAGATACTTGCCTACCACTGTAGTGATCAGATACTGAGGGAGGAATGGGCCAAGGATCTAGATTGCAGCTGTGAACATGCAAGTATGGCACCCAAAGACAGTTGGGTTTTCTTCATAAATCCATTTGCTCCTCATTTTAGACAATTTGAAAAATTAGAAGGAAAAAAATACTTTCACCACTCAAAGTCAACCCTTGCTAACACTTAAAATCTTTCTTTTCATATTTTTAGCTAACTCATGATCATCCTGCATATGCAAATTTGCATCTTGATTTTTAATTTAGTAGTATAATATTTATTTGCTTATATTATGACTTACTTTTATTGTAATAATTTTTACAATTATATCTTATATGAAGGGTGTCAAACTCATTTTCACCAGGGGCCACATCAGCCTCGCAGTTGCTTTCAAAGGGCTGAATGTCATTTCAGCTCCTTAACAGTTAAGGAGTAGCTACATTTATGCAGTCCTCAAATTATTTCAGCCCTTTCAAGGCAGCTTCGAGGCTGATGTGGCCCCTGGTGAAAATGAGTTTGACATCCCTGTCTTACATAATTATGTAATTATACCGTAATTTATTTAACCATTACCTACTTTTGAATTTTGTATTTTATATTATCTGAATTACCCTGCATGAATATTTCAGTTATATGAAGCTTTCTCTCTTTTGGGGCTTATTTCCTGGTAATACATTCCCAGAAGAACTGTTATGTGTCAAAAGTGTTATAAGTATTTCTAGTTTTTGATACATTCTCAAGGAGGTACTTTATATTTGTATTACTTGACAAAACCATTTTCAGCATCAAAAAGTGGCACACTGATCTGGAAGATAGGACAACTACATTTATGCAGTACTGGGCAGAATATTTGAAATTGGAAATATTTAGAGAAATCCATTTATTTTGGTTGCCAAATCCACACATAATATGTTGTGGTTGCATTTCAAAGGAAAGTTTCTAAAGGATTTAGGAGACATTAAGTTTATGAATTCAGGTAAAGATCTGAAAGAATTATTGATAATGGGACCTGATAAAATGTCCTTTAAAAAGTAATTTTAAAAACTAATCATAGTACTATCAAATCTCTTTTTAAATGATATTTCTCTATGTGCGTGCAGGAAAACTTTATAACCTATAGCTCCTTATCAGTTTCATTTTCTCTCAAGTCTTTGTTTCATTTTGCTTGGTTCAAAACACTTTGGTAGATTCTGCTATCAAAGCATGGTCTCCCTAATAATGGGCAGCAGAAATGAAAATGAAAAACAACCGACTAAGATGACTGTTGAGTGTTTTACATGGCACTGAGTGGCTCTGACTCCTGGCAACGCTATAAATGAGTGGTGGCCACAAGGTCCTGTTCTCACCAGCCCTGCTCAGCAACTGGAGGCTCACGCCTGTGGCTTCTTTGATGGAGCCAGCGCATCTTGTATTTGGTCCTCCTCTTTTCCAGCTGCCTTCCAGTTTCCCCGCCTTCTCATGATTTGTTCAAAACAGCTTCGGTTTTATTATTTTTGCCTCCAGCGGTGTTTCAGGCTTCACTTGCTCTAGGACCCCCTTGTTCATCTATCTTGCTAGCAGTCCAGGGTACCCATGGAGCTCTCCTTCAACACCACATTCCAAAAGAATCCATTTTTTTCCTATCAGCCTTCTTCACTGTCCGACTTTTATTTTACACTTGTACACGTTAACTGGGAATATGAGGCGGTGGATGATGCAAGATCACTAATCTGTATTTCTGAAACAGATGTCCGGGAAGAAGAAGGATGAAGACAGTGGGACAAGCACTACACTGAGTAAAGGTGAGAGCCAGTGCATATTCAGTATTGGGCTATGATGAGGGAACTGTGTGCTGAGTGTGGAGAGCGAAAAGCAGAGGTGAATAGCCAAGGTGTTACAGGGCCCCCGCAGACCCGTGGCGGCCCGTTGGATGAGCTCCTTGCTCTAGTGCAGGATGACCGAGCTGCTCTAGCAGGGGCTCTACATTACCAGTAGGTAAAGTTCAAGTTCTCTTTTCATACCTCAGCGTTTTCCCTCCACACAGCTTCCCTTTCGCATACCTTTATGGTTAGAGTGACTTTATGGTGAGAGCTACTGTAGAGTTATAGACGTAAATGACATCTTTCTCAGTAACCTATAAGCAGTGCCATGCTGGAAAATGTTTAACACCTGGCTCTCCAAAAATGTGTGTAAGTGTGTATACATTTAAAATGTTTTTACTGACCTAAAGAATGTATATCACACCATTTACAAATAATAAAATATATAATACTCTTTATGGTAAATTCCATATAGATCACTGATCCTCACAAAATGCTTTCCTTGACTTTTACCTTTGTATCCCTAACCCACCTGTGTCTGTAATTGATGAACAAGTGTGGTTCCATTATGAATGTTACTTTCCCTTAAATTAAAGAATAATGTGAAAGAAACAGGAAGGTATATGTTGGAACTTCATTTGGTTGTTGGTGAGGTGAGTGACTTCTTTGCAAATTGGATAATAGTTTTAGAATACTCTGGAAAAATATTTCTGCATTTTGAGGTGCTGTTCACAGTGTAGTGGCTATAGGCACGACATTTTTAAATGTCATCTGTGCTAGGACCAAGTTGCCATCGCTTTACACCTAGGCAATCAACAAAACCATAAACCAACACTTGCCTTGTAGGGCCTGTTGATTTTTATCCCACCCAGACTGGTTTCAAATCACCAGCAGGACGTCACCGCACACGGAGCCGGGAAGAGATCCATAGTCGCATGTCATTATACGGTATTTCCGATGTCCAGAGACAGCAGACAAATAGCTTCAAGAGCACATGCGTCATCACGAAATTCAATAAAATAATTAGGGAGTGATGATTTGAGTATTAACGTTCATTTGTAATACATTGATTTAATGACAAATTTGGAGAGTTTAATTTCTACTCGTGGCTGTGTTAAACAACCATTTCACAAAATTCCTGAAAGCTTAACTATCGGGTTCTTGTGAGCTGACTGAGGCAGGCCAAGTCCAGCACACCACTGAATAAAGAAAAGATTCTTACGAGTTTCCTGCCACCCAAATCACATTCATACACACACTCGAATCATTAAGTCTTCAGGGCAAAGGAGAGGAGGGTCCTTCTCTGGAAAAGTTGAGAGACTTTTCCCTTGATCTTATATCAGGGTTCATGAAATTCTGAAGTAATGTGTCAAGCATCTATTTGGTAATGGGGAGATTCGGTGTGGTACTGGGAAACGCAGTCAGCTGCCAACAAGTGCAGAAAAGTGGAGAAAAGTAGTGGCTTGGCAAATGGCAACTAAGAGCGAGCCCACACATGCCATAGGTTTCATGGGTTATGTGAATTACAATAACCAACAATGTGCCTAACTTGTTGATTTGTCTCGTTGATTGTTAGCAAGCGAAGATACTTCCTATCAGTGGCAAAACAAAGATGGGTCCTGGGACTCTTCACAGGTGATGAAAAAACCGAAGCAGAGCCAGCTTACTCCTGGATCCGACTCAGAAGTGGCTCTGGGCAATGACTCTCTTGAAGGAAGAAGGTGTAGGCACCATTCTCCGCTCAGCCAGGCGAATCAGTCCCAACTCGACAGTGATACTACCGACTACGACAGCGAAGACTCTGACTTGGGAGCGTCGTCCTGGAAGGAGAGTGAAAGTGAACACCCACCGCCCGCCGGTACAAAGAGAAAAATAGCTCAGCGGCAACAGAGTGTGGACAGTGACCGAACCAGGGAAAGGCCCTGCCTCTACTGCAAAGCCAGGAGAACCCATGAATGGTTGGCCCGCCATTTCCTTCAGAACACTTCAGTAGCAGCCCCGGTGAAGGGAGATCTTCAAGAGGAAAATTCTGTACCTGACATTAACACAAGATTCAGTAAATTTTGAATTTTATCAAGTCCTTGCCTTATTTGAAGCCAAATGAAAGGGATAAATAAAACACACAAAAAAATCACTGAAGCTTTAGGTGAGGAGATGTTTTACAATAAACTCTGTTAACAAAGAACAAAAATAATTGGAACCCAACAGGTAAAATTTCAAATACTTCTTTGTCCCAAACCAGGCCAGTGAATTTGTTTATGGCACCATTGGAACATCGACGATCTGTATCCACTATGATTTTTTATTCAAAAGAGCACAAGATATTTTCTCCCTTGAGTATACGTGTTTTATGTCTATAATACTAATAAGGAAGCTTTTTAAAAATATGTCCAGAAACCATCCACACTTACTCATATGCTTTGATGATCCGACTGGATGCATTAGGTGAAGCTGGTTAGAGTAGAATTGGCCCATATTCTGCAGGCCCCTGGTTCCAGGTGACTGACTCCACCTAAGCGGCACTGCTGCTTCTGTGTCCGCTAGAGGCTGGGAGGCAGGAGGAGCTCAAGAACCTGGGATAAGAGCTCTGATTTCTAGAGTGGACCAAGGAGGCAAGGCAGACCCAGAGGGGCAGCTGAGCCATGGGCTGTTGGTGGTTATTTTCCAAAGGGCATGGCAAATGTTAAAGAAAAAATTACTCTGACATTTGTTAAAATGGTAAGGAAGACTTGATTCAAGCCTATTGTAATAGGGGTCAAATCTATTGCAATAGCAGGGAGAGATCAACCTCAACTCCAAATACAGCAAGGACAAGCAGATTTATAGCCAAGGAGCAGGGCAAGGGGGTCAGTGGATGGAAAATTACTAGCAGGAAAATTACTAGGAGGAAACATCAAGGCTAGGGAGATTCCTGTTAAACCGACCTAATAGGATTCTTGGTGAAGGTAGGCCAAGAACTTATCTATCAAGATGGGGGATGAGGAACTTGATCAGATGTCAGGGGTGATCAGATGTCCAGGCGGGGGGGGTGAGGGGGGCTCTCACTAAACTTACTCAGCAGCATTCTTGCTGAAACTTGGCCTGGCAGGTCAAAGACGTGATGAACACCAGAGCTGACATCTGATCAAGAGGATCCTGGCTTAAAGTTTGGACTTTGTCACAAGTTAGCTGGAACCCAGACTTGGTTGGGGCTGGGTTTCCCAGTTAAGTGGGGACCCCAGCACTGGGGAATTCAGTAGGCCTAGGCAGCAGGTGGCCATTCTGGAGGTCATTCTGCAGATAATGGGAGAACCCCAGCTGGGCTATAAAACGAAATCCAGACCCCAGAGAAGAGGACTGGTCCAGATAAGATAAGCAGCAGAGACTCTGGTCACTGACCTAAAGTTCAAAGAAAGGCTTTAGGTCTTAGTGGAGGCCTTAGGTACTTAAGTACTACATATGGTAAAGATTGCAACATAATACTGAGGACTGAGCCTTTTATGGCAAGAGATCACAGAGCTCTGACACTGGGCTCGTGAGTCGCTCTGACAATAGTAGCTTCCTTAGCTGATTACAACGAAGAGACCAGGAGGGCACTGTGGGAGTCCCAACCATTGGAACTAGGCCATGAGAGTCTAGGACGTGAGAACTGTTTCTGAGCTTATTTGCAGAGACTGTCTTATTCGGATTGCCTTGGGACTGACGCAGGTCTGAGGCTGTGAGTGAAAGGCAGGACAACTTCAAGATTCAGCTCAAGCATCAGCCAGTTCCGTGTGGCCTTCCTTTACTTCTCAACACCCCCTCCACTGTGTTCCCGCAGGCAAGCTCACTAGGCCCTCCCTAATGCTCCAGGGTACCTTGAAAAGTCCTCCATCTCAGCATCCTTAACATTTTAATGAATGTGTTATATGTGTGTATGTGTAAAAGTAGGTTTACAGTTCTTACGGAAAAAACCATGCAGGTTATGATTATTGCAATAGCTTTGTTAACTCTGTGTTTTGTGTACTTACAACTGTAAACCTACTTTTGCCCACACCTGAATATGTGTGTGTGTACATATGTATACATTCCATGATTTGTCACCTTTGTGTCGTTGTGACCCAGCACGGTGCCAGACAACGTGACAGATCAAGAATGCAATTAAATCAATGCACAAAGGAGTATGTGAATTCAAAAGGGAGGAGCTGGGGAAAGCTAAGAGACAGAAAAAGCAGGGAAGGGGCCAATATCTACCACTTAAAGAATAATCATGATGTTTCCAACTTGATGTGATCCAGACCTTGTTTACCTAAATAGCGCCAAAAGAAAGAACAGAAACACACACACACAACAAGCTCAACATACACCGGTAAGTTGCAGAGGCAGGATTTAGACCCAAGTCTTTTGGCTTCAGAGTTTTGGCTCTTAATTACTATGATTTTACCCATGATTCTCTGAAGATGGAAGATCCTGATTTTAGGGGAAGTTAATCACTACCTCCTACACAGCTGTAAGTGAGGTCTCGGCAGATACAATCTCACCAGGAAAGAATGACTATTTTCTAGATAACAGAGTAAGGACATATGCCCCAAATGTTTTGCTTGTGGATTTAGAATATAAAGCAATGACATTATTTTCTGAAGAGTCATTTATATCAAAGACTGTTACTGTTCATGGTCTTATCCATGGGACTAGGACAGATTAGAGTTAGGGGGTGGAAGGTAGCTGCTGATAGGAAGAAGGAATTAGGGGTGAGTTAAACCAGGGGCTGTAAATATGAGGGGATTAACTGGGATAATCTGTGAGCACATTAAACCAAAAACAGAGGTCACACAAAGCTGGGAAGACATTCAAAGCCAAGGGAAGAAATGCACCGGATCAAAGGAATAAGACAAGGACATGGTGGGACGAGAAGCAGAAGCAGAGCCGGGCGTGTTGGGATGGGATTAGTGAGCAAGGCACAGAGCTGGCGAGGCGGGACAGTTCGGGAAGCCAGGGCTGCAAACTCCAGTCGTGCTGGATTTGCTTGCACGCAGAGTCTGGTATGAGCAGTCAGAATGGGGTCCCTGAGCCGCATAACAGCCTCCTCTTCAGTCCCTCCTCGGCTAAATGGGATAAACTAGGCTGCCTCTGTCACTAGGTTGTGACCTGTTTGGGTGGCATAGAATTCTTGGGCTTGCCTTCTATTTGTGGCCCTTCTGTGCAGCTAACTGTTTAGAATTGATGTCCAGCCACATCAAGCATTACGACTCTTGTTAGGAACTGCCATGCAAGGGGCTATGGGAAGCAGGGAAAGGCCCCAACTGAGATGGATGTGGCGGAGGATGAGAGTACACCCATAGTAGGTGTCTGGAGGGGGTTGGAGGAGCTGGGAACTCTGGCTGCAGGGCAGATGGTCTCAGACTCCGAACCCGTGTCCTCCCTGGACGCCTGGGTGGTGTGGTTTTGGTGGGAGGAGAGATGAGCTGGTAGATAAAATCTAAACAAGAGCAACAATAATAATACTGATGATAGTAACGTTTAGAGAGTGCTTGCCATATGCCAGGCACTGAGGTGAGCATTTCATAAGAATTATTTATCCTTTGTGAGCCTGAAGAATGGATATTTTCCCAATTTTATGGAGAGTGAAACTAAGGCTTAGGAAATTAAATGATACACACCCAAGGTCTTATAGCTGGTGAGTGTGGGGGAGCCGGGTCTTGTCTGACCACAAAGATTTTGTCTTTACCACAATGATAATACATTATCTATGTTCTCCAAGGAGAGTGCACTCCTTGCTCTCCCTTAGAGTAAGGAATTCTAATCTCTTCTTAGATTAGGACTTGGGAGAACAATACCCACTACCAAATGGAGTCCAAAGTGAACAGAGGCCTGTTAGTGGAAAATGGAGCAAAGAATCAGAAACCGCACAGAGACCAGAGCAGTCAAGTGAAGCTGGAGAGGGTCCTTGCACTGCTGGGGGGTGGGGGGGCGCTTCACACCTTATGTGAGTGGGCAAGCCTGCGCAGCTTCTGGGGAGAGCAGGCAAAAAAAGTGGTCTTGGGGGGTGGGGAAAAGGGTGGGGGAATAGAAAATTAGCTGGAAGGGTTGGCGAGGGTAAGAAGGTACTTTGCCCTGATTGTCGAGGTACAAGAGGCTGGAATGAGGAGAGCAGCGAGGCTGGTGCCCCAGGATTTGAGAGGAGGACAGGGAGAGGGCGCCACCAAGAACACGGACCGCAGCCACAGCTCCTGCCCACAGCCGCCCTTTCTCCCAGAAGGAGTGCTGTCTGCCCATGGGTTCTAGAGCAGTGTTTTCAAAACAGTCACCCATTAATAGATTGTGAAATCAACTTAGAAGGTTGCAACTAGCATTTATTAGAAAATAAGTAGAAAATAACAGAGCATTGCACATAATAAGGGTAAGTACTGTTTTTGTTTCAGTGTGTGTGTGTGTACTCAGTTGCAATACGAAATGTGCTTCTTACTATGTAAGATTAAAAAAAAAAGAAAAAAAAGCCAATGGTCTGGAGCTTTCTTTGTAGATTTTGAGTATTAACCAGCTATTCCACTGAGTGAAGGCCGTTGTCACTCCATGCATTCCTGACTGTTGTATGCTAGTCATTAGCAAATCTTCAACCACAATATAGGACGGACCAACTGTCTAGATTAGTGAAAAGCCTGAATTAAATTCTACTACTTTAAAAGAACTTAGGGTTTATTATTTCTGAGTGAGTGGAAGCAAGCTAACCAACTGCTGCCTGGTACATGGGGTGGGTTTAGTCCTGGTGAATAGACAAGAGTAATTTGTAATTGACATTTCAAAGAAGCCTTAGAAATAGGCCAGCCTTTGTTTAAATCATAATTACCCTGTTTGTATGTAAAAGGATACTTCTAAAGCTTTTCAAAACAACTGGCTCTTTTAAGTAGATAATTATTCCCCTCCAATCTTGTTTATACTATTCGAAACTTTAGTGAACTCTCTCTTTTTTTTCCATAGATAGTACAAAGGTTAACTTCAGCCAGCCCTTCCTCAAATTATCACAAATTCCCAATTAGTGAATTCTAAACAGGGTTTCCCTGTAACAATATACTGGAGACTTGTACGATGTGTTCTTTATTGCTTTGAATAACATCTGACAAGTTTCCAAGTACCAGGCCACCTGGATATTCTCTGTCTGTCAGGAACATGTGGTCACAGAGGTACAAGGGGCGGTTGAAGGTGGTGGCAGGGGCGGGGGGGGCACAAACCTGCAGGCGTGGGGACCGAGACAAAGGGAGGAAATGCTTTTTGGGGGTACTGATCACATATCAACAATATTAAATTGTGGTCACTTTCTTAGTGTAAAACAGAGCTGCACTTTTCATCTAAATTTAACAAAGGTGC